CAGGATAGGAGGAGAATGGATTCCAGGTGGAGGCCACAACTTGTCCAAGATCTTGGCAGGAAGGAGCTTAGCCACTGTGGTTAGAGCATTGTGAGGAGGTTAGGGTGGTGTCTGATGATACTGGTAAGGAGACAAGGCCAGATCATGCAGGTTTTACAAGCTGTAAGAAGGAGTTCAGACTATAACCTTGAGCACTGGGCATGGGCTGCTAGGTAAAATACAGAACACCCAGTCAAAGTTGAATTTCAGATAAATAACAACTAACTTTTTAGTGTAAGTATGTTCTAAATATTACAAGGGACATATGTATATTAAAATGTATTTCATTGTTTATTTGAAATTCCAATTTAACTTGGTATCCTGTTTTTCATTGTTTTTGTTAAGTCTGATAACCCTAGTTGAGAGGTTGCTGAAAGGTTTTTGGTAGGCAAGAGATGTGAACCAATTTGTATTTTAAGAAGACCTTTGCTTTGTGGAGAATGGTAAAGGGTGACAAAGTTAACTAAAGGTAGAAGTTCAAGGAGACCAGTCAGTCCAGCATAGCAACCCAGAGGAGGGGTGGTGGTGGCCTCACCCTGGGAGACCAGTGCTTCTCCAACCTTAATGTCCAAAAGAATCATCTAAGGTTCTTGTTAGAATGAACTTAATTCAGAAGATGCGGGGTGGGATCTGAGATACTACATTTCTAATAAGCTTCCAGGTGGTACTGACCTTGCTGGTCCCTAGATCAAGCATGTCAAACTCAAAGGCCAACACGGGCCAAATAAACAAGATTTAAGTTTATGTGGGCCGCAAAAAAACCAAAAGCTTCAATTTTCATAGAAACATAGGTTTATTTTGATAGAGACGTGCTGAATGCAAAGGACTGAAATAAATGAGTAATCATTAACATAAAATAATAGAATATTTTAATAAAAATTAACATTTTTTTCTTGAACATTAACTTACCAGACACTGAATAACTGTGCAAATTAATAAGCATAACACAAATAAACCTATTTTTCTTGTTCTCTGAAAGCGAAATATTTCCTGTTGCGCACACCAAACAAGTCAGTCTAAGATTAATGACGTGGCAATCAGCTGCTAAAATATTCGCTGCTAGTATTAGTGGAGAGAAATGGTGCGCCTGCGTGTAAGATGCTAAAGGGAAATGAATGCAACACAGTTATTGTAATTAGTCATTAGAGAACGTTGTAGATCATTACTAATAATTATGTATAACAGGATATTGTTAAAATTAAGTGACAAAATTTTTATTAAAATGTTTCTTACATACCGTTATATTGTCTGGGCTGCAAGTTTGACATGCTTGCCCTAGATCAAAGGTTGGCAAACTATTGCCCATTGGCTAAATGGGGCCTGCTGCCTATTTTTGTAAATAAAATTTTATTGAAATACTAGAGGCCCAGTGCATGAAATTCATGCACGGGGCAGGGGGAGGGTCCCCTCAGCCCAGCCTGCACCCTCTCCAATCCGGGATCCCTTGGGGGATGTCTGACTGCTGGTTTAGGCCCGATCCTGAGGCAGTCAGACATCCATCTCACAATCTGGGACCACTGGCTCCTAACTGCTCACCTGCCTGCCTGCCTGATTGCCCCTACTGGCCCCCCTGCCAGCCTGATCACCTCTAACTGCCTCTGCCTGCTGGCCTGGTTGCCCTAAACTGCCCCCCCACAACCCTGTTGCCCCAAC